GCCTGGGGAGGGTGAAAACAGCCTCCCTCACCATTCCTGGAGGCCCTCTGGAGGCCAAAAATGCCCTCCCAGAGCCTCTGTGCGAGCCCTGTACTTACCTGGCATCCAAAACAGGTCGCGTGGAGACTCCTGGGAGGGAAGGGGTGGCATCGGCGGGGCCAGCCGTAAATCAGCTGGCCGGCGCACGCATGCACACTGGAGCTGAGCTAAGGCAATGACTCCGGTGCCCACAGATATGGCTCCGCGTGCCACCTGTGGCACACATGTCATAGGTTCGCCGTCATGGGTATAGAGTCTCCTGCCTGAGCAGGGGGTTGGACTAGAAGACCTCCAAGGTCCCTTCCAACTCTGTTATTCTGTTATTTCTTTTTTCTTTTTTAATTTTTATTGAGTATAAATATTAAAAAAGACATAACATAACATACACACAACAAACATTTATACAACATATACACAAAAAGATTATGATTTCTTCTTAAGCATTTTTTTCAAAGTGACATTCTACAATACTACTTATAATATATTTCTTCACCTCTCCTTAATCCAATAACATTTTCTTTATATAGTTAAATTGGTAATATTTCCCCCTATATTTTTTGTTTATTTCTCACTTTTAACCAATTATATCAAATTATTCCATATTTTGTAATAATCTGAACAAATAACAGAAACACAGATAGAAAAAGAACCAGAAACATTTTTATTAGGAATTTTTAACAAATCATATCCTAAAGTTATCAAATATCTCACAATTCACATATTAACAGCTGCAAGAATAACTTATGCAAAGAATTGGAAGCAAGAAAGAACACCAAATGAAATAGAAGTAATAGAAAAAAATCTTAGAATGTGCTGAAATGGATAGGTTAACCAAAGAAATACATTATTCTGTTATTTCTTTTGGGCACAAACAGCAATGGAGTGAGGGGAAATAACATGCTTCAAACCTCCCAGGCCGAAGAGACAGAGATGTGCCAACGTAAAGCTCTTTTCTCTGAATGTGGAAAAAAAAAACCATATATATTTAAAGTAGGGACTGTCCCTAAGTGAACCTGGCTTCCAGTGCCCCTTCCTGTTGTTTAATACTTTCTGAAACAGGTGCTTTGTGAGCTCAGAGGCGTAAAATATTTTCTGCGTGGAAGGCATAGAGAGGTAATTTTTAGGGATGGGCTTCAAAAATTTTAGCAAGGGGTTCTCTGCCTGGTTGTGTTGTGGCTCCGTTACCTGAGCCTGTGTCATCGGCAGGAGAGGACTCCGAGAGTGAAGGAGAGGAGTTGGCAAGGCCTCCCTCTCCAGGACCCTCCTCTCTGGCAATGCCTTCGGTGTCCGCCGAAGGGCAAGAGATAGGGCCGGGGCCAAGCACGTCCACGCAGCCACAGTGATGAGGGTAATGAGTCTTGGCTGGATCCACGCCAGCGTCGCAGAGATAAGTGCGCGCAACAGAAGAAAAGGCGTGCCAGAGATTAGGCTGAGTCACTGGACCACACCCCACAGGGTATAAAAGGGGGTGAGGTGGCCATTCAGACTCTGTGACGGACAAAACTAACTACTATCGAGTCACATTGCATCTTTGGAAACAACATTATCAGCCTTGGATTTAATTACAGACTGGACAATTCTTGACTGTGTGTATTTTGTTTTATGAGTAAAGTTCTTGGCAAGCAGCTACTGGGTTGCTGCCAAGCGTCTTATCGGAAGAATTGGTTGTCTGCCAGTTTATTTAACCCCCGGCTGTCTGTTTGTGTGCGTGTGTGAGACAGGGACAGAACAGGTTGCTGGGTTGGCATGGCCATGTTGGGTGTGGCCTAGTTGGCTTCCTGAACCACGGTGGTGGGGCCATTTTTGCCCTCCCCAGGCTCCGGAGGCTTTCCTCGAGCCATGCCCTTTTTCCAAAGTCTCAACATCTTTTTTTGTGACGTGGTGATGACCAAAACTGGATGCACTATTCCAGGTGTGACCTTACTAAAGGCTTTATAAAGCAGTACTAATCCTTCCCGCGATTTTGATTCTATCCCTTTATTTATACAACCCAGGATTGTGTTAGCCATCTCTCACCCCATTCCCTGCCTCTGTGCCCCCCAAAATACAAAAAATAAAAAAAGGCTGAATTGTGCGATTAAGCGTCAGTAGCAAAACTATTGTTTAGATCATGCGGTTTTGGATGTTTGAGTGAATTTGCAAATGTAAGAATTGGAGCTGTTTGCTCCCCAAAGGATTGAGAGTCTCGTTCCCACCTTTAAAACCTTTGAAGATGCCAACATCTGGGTTAAAGATTTCATTGCGGGGACATCGGATAATTCTTGGGGAAATCTGCTACCGCCCACAGCGCATAGGAAGTGGCCTCTCTCTTCTGCATACCATCCAAACACCCACAAACACAACACTTTCTCAATCCAGAAGAAACAGCTCCAAAGAAGGGTAAGAGCCAGTTTGGTCTTGTGGCTAAGGTGCTGGCCTAGGGATCAGGAGATGGTGAGTTCTAGTTCTGCCTTAGGTATGAAAGGCAGCTAGGTGATTTTTGGGACAATAAGAGTCTATTATTTTTACAAATAACAGGGTGGCAAAGATATCTGACACACTTTCTTCCTCCTATTTTCCCCACAACAACCCTGCAAGGTAGATCGGGCTGAGAGAAAAGGACTGCTGCAAAGTCACCCATCCAGCTTACATGGCTGAGGCAGGACTGGAACTCACCGTCTCCTGCTGATTGGCCTAAAGTCACCCAGCCGGCTTTCACGCCCAAGGCAGAACTAGAACTCCTCATCTCCGGGTCATTGGCCCAAAGTCCCCTACTAAGTCTAAGGTGGGACTAGAACTTGCCATCACCTGGTGATTGGTCCAAAGTCATCCATCCAGTTTTCATGCCTAAGGCAGGGTTAGAACTCACCATCTGGTGATTGGCCTAAAGTCACCCATCCAGCTTTCATGCCTAAGGATGAACTAGAACTCCTCATCTCCTGGTCATTGGCCCAAAGTCCCCTACTAAGTCTAAGGTGGGACTAGAACTCACCATCACCTGGTCATTGGCCCAAAGTCCCCTACTAAGTCTAAGGTGGGAATAGAACTCGCCATCACCTGGTGATTGGTCCAAAGTCATCCATCCAATTTTCATGCCTAAGGCAGGGTTAGAACTCACCATCTCCTGGTGATTGGCCTAAAGTCACCCATCCAGCTTTCATGCCTAAGGATGAACTAGAACTCCTCATCTCCTGGTCATTGGCCCAAAGTCCCCTACTAAGTCTAAGGTGGGACTAGAACTCACCATCACCTGGTGATTGGTCCAAAGTCACCCATCCAGCTTTCATGACTAAGGCAGAACTAGAACTCCTCATCTCCTGGTCATTGGCCCAAAGTCCCCTACTAAGTCTAAGGTGGGACTAGAACTCCTCATCTCCTGGTCATTGGCCCAAAGTCCCCTACTAAGTCTAAGGTGGGACTAGAACTCTCCATCACCTGGTCATTGGCCCAAAATCCCCTACTAAGTCTAAGGTGGAACTAGAACTCGCCATCACCTGGTGATTGGTCCAAAGTCACCCATCCAGCTTTCATGCCTAAGGCAGAACTAGAACTCCTCATCTCCTGGTCATTGGCCCAAAGTCCCCTACTAAGTCTAAGGTGGGACTATAACTCACCATCACCTGGTGATTGGTCCAAAGTCACCCATCCAGCTTTCATGTCTAAGGCAGAACTAGAACTCCTCATCTCCTGGTCATTGGCCCAAAGTCCCCTACTAAGTTTAAGGTGGGACTAGAACTCACCATCACCTGGTGATTGGCCCAAAGTCATCCATCCAATTTTCATGACTAAGGCACGGTTAGAACTCACCATCTCCTGGTGATTGGCCTAAAGTCACCCATCCAGCTTTCATGCCTAAGGCAGAACTAGAACTCCTCATCTCCTGGTCATTGGCCCAAAGTCCCCTACTAAGTCTAAGGTGGGACTAGAACTCCTCATCTCCTGGTCATTGGCCCAAAGTCCCCTACTAAGTCTAAGGTGGGACTAGAACTCACCATCACCTGGTCATTGGCCCAAAGTCCCCTACTAAGTCTAAGGTGGGACTAGAACTCCTCATCTCCTGGTCATTGGCCCAAAGTCCCCTACTAAGTCTAAGGTGGGACTAGAACTCACCATCACCTGGTGATTGGCCTAAAGTCACCCATCCAGCTTTCATGCCTAAGGCAGAACTAGAACTCCTCATCTCCTGGTCATTGGCCCAAAGTCCCCTACTAAGTCTAAGGTGGGACTAGAACTCGCCATCACCTGGTGATTGGTCCAAAGTCACCCATCCAGCTTTCATGTCTAAGGCAGAACTAGAACTCCTCATCGCCTGGTCATTGGCCCAAAGTCCCCTACTAAGTCTAAGGTGGGACTAGAACTCACCATCACCTGGTGATTGGTCCAAAGTCACCCATCCAGCTTTCATGCCTAAGGCAGAACTAGAACTCCTCATCTCCTGGTCATTGGCCCAAAATCCCCTACTAAGTCTAAGGTGGGACTAGAACTCACCATCTCCTGGTGATTGGCCCAAAGTCATCTATCCAATTTTCATGACTAAGGCACGGTTAGAACTCACCATCTCCTGGTGATTGGCCTAAAGTCACCCAGCCGGCTTTCACGCCTAAGGCAGAACTAGAACTCACCATCACCTGGTCATTGGCCCAAAGTCCCCTACTAAGTCTAAGGTGGGACTAGAACTCACCATCACCTGGTGATTGGTCCAAAGTCACCCATCCAGCTTTCATGTCTAAGGCAGAACTAGAACTCCTCATCTCCTGGTCATTGGCCCAAAGTCCCCTACTAAGTCTAAGGTGGGACTAGAACTCACCATCTCCTGGTGATTGGCCTAAAGTCACCCATCCAGCTTTCATGCCTAAGGCAGAACTAGAACTCCTCATCTCCTGGTCATTGGCCCAAAGTCCCTTACTAATTCTAAGGTGGGACAAAAGTCTAAGGTCGGCCCAAAATATTTGACGCCACTCGATGTGAAACGCGGAACTCACCCGGATGGTCTTCCGACTGGTTGAACCCGCAAATCTGACAAATGTTCCGCACCCATTTGTTCATGTCCTCTTCCGTTTCCGCCACCAGGTAGAAGGTCCTCTCGCTGGTTTTGATGTCAAAGACGAAACTGTCCTGCAGTTCCTTCTTGTTGAAGGTCAACCCGGCGTCCACTTGTTCACAAAAATTGAGATTGATCACGCGCAGCGGCTTCTTGGAGTGATTGTTTTTGTAGTACTCCAGGACATCGGGATCACCGCTCATCCGGCCACTGCGAAGGATAAACCATCGTTTTTTCCACGCCTGGAAGACACAGAAAAAAAAAAAAAAGAGATTTTTTAATTCTTGGAAAGAGAAGCAGCTGCCTCGGTTTGATTCCAATTGAGCTGGGATTACAAGTGTTCCTTGAGTTATGACTGTAATTGCGCATTCAATTTACGGCCATTCATTTAGTGACCGTTTGAAGTTACGACGGCACTGAAAAAAGTGACCTAAGACTGTTTTTTCACACTTTTGACCCCAGGGTCACATGATCAAAATTCAGACACTTGACAATTGACATAAATATATGACGATCGCATAAATATGACTCATATTTATGACGGTGACAGTATTCCGTGTGTGTGTCACGTGATCCCGTTTTGTGAGCTTCTGACGAGCAAAGTCAATGGGGAAGCCGGATTCACTTAACGACCACGTGGCTAACTTAACAATGGCAGCAATTCCCTTAACAACTGCGGCAAGAAAGGTCGTGAAATGGGGCAAAACTCACTTAACAAATGTCTCGCTTAGCAACAGAAATTTGGGGCTCAATTGTGGTCGTAAATCAAGGACTACCTGTACCAGGGGTGAAATGCTCCCGGTTCGGACCGGATCGCCTGATCCGGTAGCGATGGCGGTAGGTGGTTTGGAGAACCGGTATCAAAAATCCCTGAGCCCCCCCCTCCACCATGCCCAGCTGAGCCGCGCAATCATCAGAGGCTGGTTTTTTTTTAACTTTTAAAAGCATTTTTTCTACAACCTCTTCGGCCGAAAAAATGCTTTTAAAAGTAAAAAAAAAAAGCCTCTGATGATCGTGCGGCTCAGCTGGGATCGTCAGAGGCTTTTCAAAGCATTTTTTTCTGCAACCTCTTCAGACGAAGAGGTGGTAAAAAAAAATGCTTTGAAAAGTCTCTGACGATCCCAGCTGAGTTGCCTGATCGGCAGAGAGGCTTTTCAAAGCATTTTTTGGCAACCTCTTCAGCCGAAGAGGTTGTCGAAAAAAAATGCTTTGAAAAGTTTTTTTAAAAAAAAAGTTGGCCACGCCCACCCAGTCACATTACCCCCCACCCCCAAGCCACACCCACAGAATCGGTAGTAACAAATTTTACATTTCACCCCTGACCTATACGGTCCTAAGTCAAGTTCCCCACTAGAAACGGGAAGCAAAATGCTGTTTTTGGAAATCTGGCGAATCAGCCCGAACTGGTAGCATTTCACCCCTGGTCGTGTGATCTCCTTTTGTGACCTTCTGGCGAACAAAGTCAATGGGGAAGCCTGATTCACTTAACAACCGTGTTACTAACTTAACAATGGCAGTGTATTCACTTAAGAACGGAGGCACGAAAGGTCGTAAAATGGGGGTAAACCTCACTTAACAAATGTCTTCCATAGCAACATAAATTTGGGGCTTAATTGTGATTGTAAGTAGAGGACTGCCTGTAATGTATTTCTCCGATGGCTAATTCCGAAATTCAACGCATCATTTGGGTATCATTGCAACTTCCAAGAAACACAGGTGACAAATCAACCCAGTTTTGAGTCATTTGTACTCCAGCGGAGGAGAGGATGAGCTGCAATTTCATCAGCTGCAATTTCGGGGACAAATAAATCACAGCAGGAGAGAAACATCCCGAGGGCTTGTTTTGAAGCCTGTGGGCTGAAATGTGTCGAGGGAAGCATGCTAATTCATTTGTGTGTCCTAATAAAGCGAGAATTGTCAAAACACATTATGGGTTTATACGGGTGCTGGGAACGCCTGGGAATGATTCAGAAGAGTTGCATTTGGACTCGCTGCTAATTAATACAGCCCCATCTCTCTCTCTCTCTTTTTTTTTCAGACTTCCACACGAGTTTAAACAAAGAGATGGGGCTGCTTTAATGAACCAACTCATTGAAAACATCTCTTCAAGCAGCCCCATTTGTTTTCAGACTTCCACATCAGCTTAAAAACAGAGATCTAGCTGCTTTAATGAGTCAGTTCAAGAAAACAACTCTTTAAGCAGCCCCATCTTATTTTCAGACATCCATATCAGCTTAAACAAAGAGATGGGGCTGCTTTAATGAACCAACTCATTGAAAACTTCTCTTCAAGCAGCCCCATTTGTTTTCAGACCTCCACATCACTTTAAAAACAGAGATGGGGCTGCTTTAATGAGTCAGCTCATGAAAACAACTCTTCAAGCAACCCCATCTTTTTTTTCAGACCTCTACATCAGCTTAAACAAAGTGATGAGACTGTTTTAATGAGTCAGATCATGGAAACAACTCTTCAAGAAACCCCACCTTTTTAAAGACTTCCACATGAATTTAAACAAAGTGATGGGGCTGCTTTAATGAGTCAACCCATGAAAGCAACTCTTCAATCAGCCCTATCTTTCTTCAGACTTGCACCCGAGCTGCTTTGGACTTGCGGCTAATTAATAAAAGCTCCATCTTTTTTTCTCCAGACTTCCACATGAATTTAAAGACAGAGATGTGGCTGCTTTAATGAGTCAGCTCATGAAACTCTTCAAGCAGCCCCATCTTATTTTTCAGACTTCCACATCAGCTTAAACAAAGAGATGGGGCTGCTTTAATGAGTCAGTTCATGAAAATAATTCTTCAAGCAGCCCCATCTCTTTTCAGACTTCCACATCAGCTTAAACAAAGAGATGGGGCTACTTTAATGTGTCAGTTCATGAAAATAATTCTTCAAGCAGCCCCATCTCTTTTCAGACTTCCACATCAGTTTAAGCAAAGAGATGGGGCTACTTTAATGAGTCAGCTCATAAAAACAATTCTCCAAGCAGCCCCATCTTATTTTCAGACTTCCAGATCACCTTAAACAAAGTGACGGAGCTGTTTTAATGCATCAGCTCTTCAAGCAGCCCCATCTTTTGCATGGAAAGCTAAAAGAGGAAGAAAAGACGGTTGCTTTCAGAAGCAGCTGGACTCTGGAGGTGCTATGTTCACATAAAATCTGTAGCACTTCTTCTGAATCATTCCACTCTAGTAAGAGACCAGAAGTTCTAAAGCCCAGAGCCCAGTTTACTAACAATTTTTGTTTTTGTCAGAAGAAGAAAGAACAAGTCCTCCTGCACAAATATCTGTACATGATTATTATTTTTTTGCCCGACCCCAAGGAACCTCTTGGAAAGATCTTGAACTCGCTGGAAATAACCTTGAATGGGCAATGAAATGCAGAGCTGTGATTTATGAGTATTGTCAGTACACGCTGATCCTAGATGACAAAAAGCTTGAGTTCGTAGGTTTGCCAAAACTCAAGTCTGGAGAAACGTTTATTTAGCGTGTTTATAATGTTACATGGCTTTCCAAGTTGGTCAAGGCAGCCGCCACTAAAATTGATATAATGGAAATTCAAAGGGCAAGGTGGGACATCGGAAGTAAATCAATTTTAGAGCCGCGACAGAGATGGAGAAGTAGATTTTTGAAGGGAAGAGGACGACCCAATCGCTCTGCGTTAATTACAGTAATTAAGTTCTGCAGCTTTTATTCATTTTTGAGCTGTTTAATACAACGAAACGCAAACGAGCACACACAGACCACATCCATCAGATTACAAAACTCTGATCTGATTTTTTGACTGTATCCCACGCACTTCTCAAATCACATGGACTAGAAACTTAGCTTTAAGAGTTGTATGGGTGTGGGTGTGGGTGTAACTGGAGGCTCCCACTTTGACAACACCAAAGAGGGACTGCAGTTATGAATTGTCTCCCTAAAACCCTAACCCTAACCCTAAAATGTGTAAACTCCCTGCAACTAAGTGCCGAAGCCCACTGTAACAACATTGTCAAAAAGGCATTAAGAGTTGTTAACCTTATCTTGCGTAGCTTCTCCTCTGGTAATGTTGTACTCAGGGGTGGGTTCTAAATTTTTTTACTACCGGTTCTGTGGGCGTGGCTTATTTTGTGGGTGTGGCTTGGAGGTCATGTGACTAGGTGGGCGTGGCTAGCTGGTCAGAGTCATTTCTGGAAGGTCCTCACACTTACGACCAGTCCTCGCACTTACGACCCGACTCATTTGTTTGCTTTTAACACTGATCAGCTGTAGGGCGGCCCTTTGAACCTCCACGGCAAGAGTTTAAACACTTTTTTTCCCTCTAGTCATCAGCTGGGACTCAGGAGGCAGCAATAGTTTGGGGGTGGGACCAAATAAAAGGTAAGAATAACGTGGGGTGGGTGAGAGGGCAGGGGGGAGAGAACCGGTTCGGTGACGTCATATCGTCCCTGCTACCGGCTCGGCCGAACCGGACCGAACCGGGAGGAACCCACCACTGATTGTACTACTAACTAGAGCCGTGATGGCGAACCTATGGCACGCGTGCCAGAGATGGCACGTAGAGCCCTCTCTGCAAGCACACGAGCCGTCGCCGAGCTCAGCTCCATTGCCCATGCGCCTGTACCTCCCACTGGTCAGCTGATTTTCGGGATGTGCAGGGGGTAGGGCGCATGCAGTGGTGGGATTCAAATAATTTAACAACCGATTCTCGGCCCTAATGATTTCTTCCAACAACTGGTTCACCAGATGGCTCAGAAAGTTAACAACTGGTTCTCCCGAAGTGGTGCGAACTGGCTGAATCCCTCCACTGGATGCATGCAGGAGATGCATGTGCATGCATGGGGGGGGTCCCGTGTGCATGCAGGAAGGGGTGGGGGTTGCGCGCACATGCGCGGGGAGGTGGGGGGAGCATGGCATCCGCCCCACGGCCCATTTTTGGGCCCAGGAGGCTCCCAGGAGACTGCCAGGAGTCTCCACGCGGTCTGTTTTGGATGCCAGGTAAGTGCAGGGCCTGCGCTGAGCCTGGGGAGGGTGAAAAACAGGCCTCCCGGAAGTCCGGAAACGGGGCCATCTCCAGCCTCCAGAGGGCATGTGCGGGGGAGGGGGGATGTCATGCACGGATGCGCAGGGGTATGCACATTCCATTATGGGTGCTGGCACGCATGCACTTTTGGCACACGAAGAGAAAAAGGTTAGCCATCACTGAACTAGAGCATACAAAACATTTGCTAGACCAATTCTCGAATACAGCTCGTCTGTCT